GGCTACTTCTGAAGTTATCCCCTGTTCCTTGTATCATCAGACAACTCCCAGATGTGTCTCTAGACAGGTCACAACTCAAGAATTTTTAATAGAGTAGAAATATGTATGTTACAAAAACTCTGTCCTCTCCACAATATATGGATTTTTCTCCCCTGTCTTTCCACTGCAGTTGTCTGTCTTGATGCAATCTGAAGTGATCTTAATTAGGGAAAGTTTATAAGTAACCCCTGTGCTTTTACACCCCCCCTGACAGTCCTGATCGACAAAGACCATTCCCCCAGATGGAAGCCAGCTGCTCTAGAAGAAGTCAGCGATGAATTTGTGGACAATTGTTTTAAGCCATTGGGGAACAACGACCTCAAGTTGTAAAGATCAAGCCGATTACCATCTTACACATCTGCTTATTTCTATGATAAAAGGATTAATAGTAGTGTGATGAAGTGTGACAAGACTCAGCTAGCCTAAAATTCTTAAGTCTAATTTTTTGCATTCAGGAACATTCTCTTTTGTTACGCTGACACAGTGGCAAAATAATCCTATCTCTGGTTAATAAGGGGAAAAAATTGCTTCAAGGCAAATTGTTATTTGTACTGCTTTACACAATAATTAACGCTTAATTTTTTGCATCAACTCAGTTTAGGAGGAACCTTTTGGGGAGAGAGCATTAAGAGCTGCCTTCATAAGCAAGAAGTCAGGAGACCTTTGTGTTCTTGGACCTGTCTCTGATCTGTTAAATTGGGATTGTGCCTCAGATTCTTCTCTATACGCATATATAATGAAAATAAAATGTACTTAAAGCTTTGAAACTGTCACAGCTACGAAAGTGCAAGACGTGCTAAATCCATGGTGTTAAGTGGTCTTTTAAATAAAAGGTCAGACTGACGTACTGTTAGTCTGAGAGCAAGAACTTGTTCTATTGATTTAACATTTGGTAAAGTGTTCAGTCTTGCTATGTGGTGCAGAGGTTGTTTCAAATGTCATAATACAGCCAGAGCCTACAGCACACTTCTGTTTGCTTGCACAACCATTTTTTAAATGCCGTTAAGTTTGATTGAACTGCATAATTAGTTTTTCATTAGCTCAAAAATTGAATTTCTACCTCGTACTGGTTCTGTATGAAATGTAAACTTCTTCCCTTATTTTTTACAATTTTTACACATTTAAAATTCTTAAACTGGCTATTTTATTTTTTAATTGGTTCATTCCTTTCTTTTTGTACAAAAGGAGCAATCTTCAGCAATTCCATTTAATGAAAAACACAGTGATCCCCAGGGAGCAGAGATCACGCCCTCTCTGACTGACAAGGCCTCGCAGAGTTTTAGCAAGAGCGTACTTCTGAATGGATAAACCTTGACTTGCTTGTTCGGTTGCTTCCAAAACTGATGTGAGGAGCAATTATCCCAAGCTCCCTGTAACAACATCCTGTCCGATCTGTGCATTTCTGTCAAATAAGCGTTCTACAAGCAGATGCTAAGTTTCATTTTATTTGGTCCACAAGAAAATATTTTCCACAAAAAATATTGTAAAAATATATTGTAGTGAGTTTTATTTGGGAACACTGATGTGTCTCACTCCAGAAACGTCAACTTTACAAAATTGTGCTGCAGTTGATGTGTTTGAAGCACTGTTAGAATACCAAGTCAGTCACACTGTATCCACTCAGACTATGCTGACTTTTCCTGGAGAAAATATAAAGCAAATGTATTTTTAACTCCTAAACAGAAGTAAATGGTTTTGCAGAGTATGCCAGTCCCACGCCGGAGTGCCCTTATTACACAGAATCGAGTCAATCAGTGGTGACTTACCTGGAAAGCCACTATAAATGGCTTTATAAGACTACAGCACAGCTTTGGTAATCTAATGATAAGTAAACAGATCTTTTATTTAGGTAAACAAGTCTTAATGTTTACTGTTCTTATGTATTAGTATTGTGCCTATGAAAAGTACAGCAGAAGTCTGCGAAGAGTTCTCCTTCGATCTCTCACCAGATTGTAGCATTGAACTGATTTTTTTTTTAAAGGAAGGGTAAGTGCATTATTTACTAAGGACAGCCTCCTGTAAAAGAGATTGTTTTCCTGGTGAGAAGCTGTCTCCCTGTTGTTTGCAAGCCTGTTTGCTTTCCATTTGCCGTGTGCTTTCCCTGAAGTGTCAGTGTCATCGAAAGCAGCATCAACCAGCTGGAATCGCACTTCAGGCCGTACTGAAGCTGCTGCAATCGCCAGGCGGTCGTGAGGGACGCCGGGCTCTGCTGCAGGTGGGTGACTGCTGGGGCATCTCAAGCAGGGGCGATGCAGCGGCCGTTGCGCCGCGGGTGCTCTGAGCAGGCAGCGCAGCCGTCCCGCGCAGCAACTGCTCCACGTGGAAGCCCACTGCGCTGCGCCTTTCATTGGACCTGGGTAACGTTCTGCTCTGGGGAAATTCGGAGTATTTATCAGTACGGATGCTATGATGTCACTTTAGGCTATTTGATATTATTTTACAATGCTGCCTGCTGCTCAGCCATGTAGTGGCAGGCTCC